CAACACTGCCTCACAAGAAACAGGAGCACTCCCTATTGGCTAGGGGGAATCCACCGCCCCCTCCCTTCTTTCCTTTGCTCCCTTTCTGCCCATAGCTCTATCAATGCGCTTTTTAAATTTTTTTTTCTCTTCGTTCTCACTGTTTCTCCGGAGTTGTGTATCTCCTTGACTTGAACCTCTGATCACGAGGTTCCCTTTTTATACAGTGTTTTCTTGAGGCAAAAATGATCGACTCTCACTCGATAATTGAAATAGTGTGTAATTAGATGAAGTAATTTTTTCTCAATCAAGAACAATACACTTGGATCGTTTTTTGGAAGAAAATGGTATATTTCTTGAACACCTGTAGCGAGAAGAGAAATAAGAGTTTTGGGAATATGGAGAAATTATGGAAAATGGCGTCAATTAATGAAAATATGCAATTTTTGTAGAGTTCCTTTGATCTTTAGCAGTCGCTGACTTTCTTCTTCTCCTCCTAAACTGAAAACTTCTGAAGCTCCCCCTTCTGAACGAATACGGAACTACTCTGAGTTCCCGAAGTTTTCTTAACACTTAATGTGCAAACCATTGAGATGGGAAGTGACTAAGACCGTTTCAAACAATAGACCGAGACATTTTCTGACAATTGACCGAAAGAAGCTATGGAAAACGAAGTTGACTTCGCAGTCCACTCGAGTGGTGTTTCATGGCTCGGCACTTTCTCTATCCAAACTCATTCCCATTCCGAGAGTCTTCTGCTGTCATCGCGATAGTTTTTTATTCATTTGACCAATCTCATTTGCATTGTTTTTGCCTTTCTTGTACTTCTTTCTTCTCCACCTCGACCTTATATCCTTCCTTTATTACTTTGCTTTCCTTAATCTCTTCATATTTTCCCACCATTTCACTTAGTCCGAGGAAACGCTGCCATGGTGTCATCCGATCCCGACTGACTGGAAATTCCAGCCGAGAGATGTGTCATCGATTCGTTTAAGCGCTTCCCATACCGTAATCCGCAGCCATCGATCTGATAAGGCTATGTTGCCGTTACTGCAGCAGTGTTTATTCATACTCCGCAACGAATAGCGATGTCGTTTCTGTTGAACACAGACCATGCATAGGGAAATGTTCCCAGTGCTTTGATTCCTCCACTCGCAGTCGTCGGCTGCCCCACCGCTGCCGCCTCTGCCACCGCTACCGTAACCCGTCTGCAGCAACGGGGCAACTGCAGGCACCCGTGTGTCAATAACAGACCCGGCGCCCGGCAAACATTTCCAAATCGGGATCAATGTGCCGATGAGGGCTGGTATTTGAGTTTCAAATCGATCACAAATTAGTCTAGTTTTCGAGGCCGGACCCTGCCGCATGACTATACATGAAATGGTTTGGGGCACCAGCTGTTAATGTTGCTGGTAGGAACTATGTTCCAGATGGGAACTTCTACGTAATGAGTAATTATCTTCGCGAACTGCCTCGTTTTCGTTTCCAATTATCTGTCTTCTCATTTATTTATGAGTAATTCAGCTCCGCGGCGCATCTGTCGTCGTCGATCCCCGCGGCTTTACACTCTTTAACTCGCTCTCGACGACCTCCGTACATCAAATCCGATGCCTCATTGACACTTCAGGTTCGCACAGTTCATTTCCTCCCAATTATGCTACTCCCGTCTTATTTATGAATATTTCAGGTCTGTAGACAGCAGTCCACTTTGTCACGTCAAGATGCACGAGGAACTGAAACCGTGAGAATTGTTGAATCTTTTAAAGGGTGCCGACTCTGGCTGGCTGAAGAGATCTTTTGTCCCGAACGGAGGTGGCGGGGGTTTAGCGCGAGGGTGAGCCGCTGAGAATTTTCCGCGATTTCTTTGTGAAAGACCGATCACCACTTGAGTATCAAAAGAGATCCCCGCGGCAACCACAACGTCTGTCTTTTCCTCTCTCTGCGCGAAAACGGGCATGACAATGTCACATCAAACAATCCACTGAGGCCGTGCCGCTCGTCATCTGTCCGAGGGTTCACGTCACGGGTTGCTGCTTGTCAAAGTTCCATCGAAACTATGGGAAAACCCTGAGAATCTGCCAGCATGGAAACGTCAGGGAAGAGAAGAGCGGATTGAACATGACATTTAGAACCAGTGCAATCCCCTTTGTGCTCCCTCATCAAGTGGGTCAGAAGTATAGTTGTAGACTACAACTTCTGTTGTTTTTGAGAGTAAAACTTGTTTTACAGAGTGATGAGTGCAACGCTTCTCGCAGCCACAGCGAGAAACTTGTCTAGGTATTTTCAAAGTTTTCATCTCCTGCTGATTACTTGCCCTGAGAAAGGAAAGAAAGAAACGTCAAACATTATTACTGGTCATGTGTTTCGTTGAAGTTTTTGCTGAGTATGACGAATCACTTCTTTTTCGAGGCAACGAAGATTACTTACCATTAGTTATTCAAAAAATCACGCTGCTTTGCTATTCATGCATTTTAGTCCGTCATCCGACTTTTCTCTGTCAGAGCTCTTCTGCCTCCCTTCAGTTCAGTTCCAGTTAATTATTGGTTCTCTGAATTGACCAGTGTGAAGGCTTTCTTCAGCGGCTATGTTTCGAGATTTTGCGGGAATCGGCAAACAGAAGGAAGTGAAATTTTCTCATCGCTAGAGGCCTTTGGAAGTTTTCTAGCTGTTCTCAATAGTGCCCGCAAATCTGTCCAAATTGTTTTTTCTCATTCAATTCATCAGGAATACCAGGGGAAGCGGTAACTATTTGCTAGGTTGTACAGGAATTAGTTCATTCAACGAGTTCGAACCCGGCCTATCCGCTGCTGATTCTCCTAGAAAATTGTGTGGGTTGTGAAGTCTCTTCTCAGCGGTTCTGGACTGACATCGTTGAAACGCTTCATACCCTGAAACATAAAGGTCGAAGATGAACCTCGATTTGGTCACTCGATTGTGATATCAAGAATTCTCTTGATATGTTTTGCGCACACATAAGCATAGTGGTATTTATGATATTTCTCTAGAGAGTTCGAGAAAATCTCTTGAGCAATTTGGACTGGAGTGAAATTCTCGGCAGATACTTTCCGTTTAAGCAATGATTTTAACTATTTCATAAAACAAAAACTTCCCTTCGGTTGGAGCTCGCAATTCGTACTCATACACACTCATAATCAGTGAAAACTGCTGATTAGATACGACTGTTGTAAAGTTCGCGGGCTTGTTTATCGTATCTCGAAAACGCTTTGCCTCGATAAACAAATCGGTCAAGTTATTGGTCACCTCTATGCTTTCACATCAATTTATGCCTCGGAAAATCGATTATGGAAATGTCTAGGGTCGATTTTGTGAACCATTCTTTCTGATGGCCTATGGATTTTTAGAAAGGTAAGGGAACGACTAGGAGGGTAAACAGCGGGCAATGGTCGTTACGACGCCTATATTGAAGAGTTAATGTGCAAATTTGCTATGTTAGCTTGGAATCAATTGTATCGTTGTATTGCACTGTATTGCACTGCGAATGCTTGTCGCCTGGTTGGAGAAGGGTGCGTTTCCGATCTCCGACCGATACTGTAGACTGACTTTTTGGTTTCTGCGGTTAGCCCTCGACGACCATCTAGGTTGCTAATCTATCTGTATCGATGCACTTTTTTGGTGCATTCGTTCCATTATCAATCGTAGAGGCATCTGTAAATGCATTCTTTCTATAGAGAAAAGGCGGGCGTTCAGCCACAGTCTCATGTAGCATTCTCCAAAAGTCTATCTAAGTGGGATCCCATCTATGGGTTGCGTGTGGTAATGGCGCCCTTTACCAATACCCAATGATCGTAATCGACATATCTATTACAATCTCTCACCAGTTACTAGCGGCTGAGTAATTCATAATTCTTTTTCCAAATTTGATCGAATGTGACTTTTGCAGGAATACTCTTGAGTTTTTCAACTCGAGAAGTCGAGTCAAACATCTCGATGCTGAAGAGAAGATCGTATTCTTATTCGATTATTCCACGAAGTGAGTTAATGACAAACATATATCGAAAAAAAAATCAATAATTATTCCTTATACTCATTCATTTCAGACCGGCAAAGACGACTCCAGATGAGGTCAACGGCCCATTACTGTGAGTATTGATAATCTTATAAAGCAAAGTATTTTTTGAAAAATTCCATTTTTTTAGAAGGTCTTCTTCTGCTGAGGTGATCGACTGGAGAGTTCTTAGGGATTTGGTGGGTCTCTTTTTCCGACATTCGTATGATTTTTTGCCTTTTTACATCTTCCTTATATTTTCGCTTTCGTTAAATCCCTCTCTTCCTCTCCCTTCTTCCTCTCTATCTCTCACTCTTATTGGTGCCAAACTGTAGAGATCTTTTGTCAAGAGTTGCTCATCACGTGTCCGAATCTATGGTTCGTGGTGGCCCATTTTATTTCAAGTTTTTGTTTACCATCGCGAGGCACTGCCAGATCATAATTCAAGCAGTTCTTCAATTCAACCATGTTATGAAGCATGCAAAGTTTCCAAGTGGAGATGTGGGAATGATTCCTCGTCATTTATCAACGATGACACGAGGGCGTTGCTCATTTCTATTAGGCTTGCAGCGAAAAGTCAAATTTGCCCTTTACTCCAGTGGAAGCCGTTTCCGAACAAGTTCAAGTTCAGGGCAAATTTTCCAGTTGCGCTAGTCAGGCTTCCATCATACCCCTGACGAAATGAACCTCTTAGATGGTTAAGATGGGATTCAATTATGGACTTGCACCTGTCGAATCCAGCTCCCATGCTTAGTTGCTGTGTTGATAGGAATCGCTCATGATGTTCGACCTTCGAACCAGAGCTGTAGAAAGATATTTGTTTTGTTGCAGATATAGCATGGAATCCATCCGTCATGTTTCCAAATATTGTCTCAGCTGTCAAGGATCGTGTTCGGTTTGGTGTGGGTGCTCCTATATATGTAAGCGCTCGCAGGGCAGTTTTATGGGAAGGGACAGACTTGCAGGGTAATGAATATTACTGATGGAGCGCAGAGGATTATGATCATTTTATTGATTGCAGTGGGATGGCCGAAACTGTGGGAACGATTTTTGATCATTTATCAGCAATACGCAGGGAAATAGCTTATTTTTATAAAGCTCTTAACAAAGTTGTTGGAGTTGCTCTCTGATTCGGTAAAAACTGTTGAGTTTCAGCAGTGCTGACCATTTCTGGATGATTGTAACCTGATGAACTTATTCAGAAATTTTGGACAAAGCCAAGTGAAAGTTCGTAGGCGGAGAGCTCAGCTGGTATAGAATGGGAAGAGTTATTATAGGTACTAGTTGCCCCTGTCACTGAGTAGTTTTGAGTAAGGGACAAAAAATGATGAACGTCCAACTTCTTAAATCCGTTATCGGTTTGTCCACGTTCATCAGCTCCACTTGTGGGTCATCTGAGTAGAAGATCCAGTAAAGGTATCATCTGAATTCACTTGCTCAAAGCCAAGCTAATTTCGACTTTGTTATAGAGTACAGAGCGAACGGTTCCTTACAGTATAGTAGAGTTCTGTAGAATATGATTTCCAAGACTTGTCTTCTCATACATTCAACCATTTTTCCTTATTTATCTCCTTCTTTTGAGCAGCCTTCTGAGCATCCCTGAGCATCCATCTGCTATTTTTCAGAGGTGACCTTACAGCAATATGCTTATTAGAAAACTTTTTTGAATGTATATTATTAAGAAAAGAGACAACAAATGGGGAGTGATGCGTCATCCGATGGTATTGAATTTCATCAACGAACGCCTCCTTGATTGTGCTTTCTTCTACACTTTGCATATTCTGGGTACGGATATTTTTGTAGTAGTCCACGTTTTTTTGCGCTCGTTTGAAAATTATTTTTTCAAGTAAAATATTATTCCAGCTTTTGGCGTGTTTTTATTGTTGCTGTCATCGCATATATTCTCCAGTACTGTGGCTAAAGATATTGCTGTCACAGCCTTCATAGCTTTATTCCTATTCTTTATGGTAAATATTTAATGAATTACAGACACTGCTTTTCTTTTGCGCTGTCAAATCTATATGCTCGTGAATTTTTTTCAACTCAAGTAGCTTGAGATGTAGCTCTTTTTTTAAGTTCTATTGCTTCAAAGTAGTGGAGGCAACTGATTTGACGAAATTCAAAAAAAGCCAAACGACAAAGCACCGCCAAATACATACATATGGATACAATTTGCCGTTAGCTATGTTATTTTTTCTAATTCACTTCAATTTCAGCTACTTAAAGGTGCTATTAAAGCTCGCATCTCACATTCGATCTCTTTCTGGTTCGTCATAGCTTACACCTTTAACCTAGCCACCTATCTGGCCACATTTCTCTACGTTTGGCTCCCAACGATGTTCAGTTATGACGATTATCACGAGGAAGTCAAGGTAACTACTTCCAACAACTTTTCTTAGCCCATTCCGTAGAAGAATTGAATGAAGCCCCGCTCTGAATACTCTTCTATTTTTTGTTTGATTCTTTCGCCAAGCGAAAAGCCGTTTTTGTTGTTTTGACCCGTGACTGGTAACAGGATAGCTCAAATTGTGAAGGAAATAGTAAAATAATCCCATTATCACTTGCTCAATAAGTATATTCAAGTGGTTGAGTCATAAGAAATTCTGTAGTTCGAGACGTATCAGGAGATGGCTGGGAATCTTGAATCTTCTTTACTTTATACAAAAAACATTTTGTGTTGTCTTTCTGGATTCTTCGGGGTTGCTAGTTAACGCTGTCTGTCGCTAATAGCTTTCCTGATTTCCTTTGTTCCGGAACGATGTTTCAGAAAGTCATTCTATGGTTTCTTCCCATCGTGGCAATCATCTCTGCGTGGGTGAATTTCCTCTACATTCTAAGGAAATCCCCTTATGGCATCTATATATTTATGATGGTCCGTATATTACGATCATTCGGACATGTGAGTTCCCTAGCCGTTAGAAAAACTATAGAGAAAACACAAATGACCACATTCATCTAGATCGCCACCATCTGGATTCCCACGTTGGTCGCTTTTTCGTTCGCGTTTCATCTGATTATGAGAGATTCGGGCACAGAACCATGGGAAAGCCTGAAGACGGTGTGTGGATTTTAAATTTTTTCAAAAAGATCGTCCAGGAGATTCCATTTTTTTCAGGATGATGACGCCACGGTACTGCAAAAGCTGTTTATCATACTCCAGGCAATCACCAAAACGTCGACAATGATGATCGGTGAAGTGGACGCAAACGACATTCTCGGTTTGTGATCCTACTTCGCTCGCACACGATAACCAAATGAGAACGTTTGGCCTCCTTGGCATGCAGGAAACTGGAACGACCCAGTCCATGATGAAACAACGATTTATTCAGCGACTGATCCCTTCCAATAGTCTGATGTGCCGTTAAACTTTAACGCTCTTTTCGGCTCTCGATATTGAACATATGGTGTATCCCAGAAGGTCTACGCATCGTCTACAGCTTTCTTTTTATTTATTAAACTACTTCTCACGATATAACGAGTATCCAATCGAGCTGTAGGAAGCGGCATCATGCGACAATTATTTAAGCTACGAAGTTCGCAAGAGCTAGTCTCAGAAATTTGATTTCCTTCTAAGGGTCTTCATCTCCAGTGTTTCTTGCGTTCATCACCGCGCATCATTAATGAAGAGTGCGTTCATGTACCTCGATGCCCTTTAGCAAAAGCTGGACAAGTACCAGTCCACTTTTCTCTCTCTAAATCGACCATTAGATTTGAATCTGGAGAACCGTTCAGCAGATCGTACTTCTTTGACTCCCTTTCCAACAGTAGGTCTTCTCCACCTGAAAACTCTTGGCAATTGCTCTAGGATTTTGTCGACGGTGGAAAATTTTGAAATTTTCTTGTACACGCCATGAGCAACTCATAATTCAATTAAATGTGGAAGAGGCTTGTCAAGAACAATATGTCAAGCATTTCTAGCCAATGTCCCACCCCAACGAGACCTATGCATAACGTATGCATTGCTAATTACATCCGCTATCCTCAACATATTAACGGCAAAGAGAGGAAGCCCGAGAGGGAAGTATTCCTCACACGCCAGCTTAATTTCCTCTCTTCGCACTGTCAACTTCAATTAGAGCTCTTGACGTGGTCGAGCTTAGCTCAGCTTCCTCCGACATAAAATCTCTGACGGACTGGGGGATTTTATTCCAAACACTATTTTCATATGTGAACACCGCTGTCCTTAGAAACGCTTCTCTGTTAGGAATTAGGCAATAACTATGGGAATTTCCCATGCGCGTACATAGATGTACCTTCACACGCTGTACTGTTGAACGATTGCAATCTCGGAAGACGGTCGATCCGCTCATGCTTTTTGTCGTACAAACAGAGAAAGTAAAGATAAGAAAAGAGAGTTAATAAAAAAACAGAAACTTCAAAGAAGCACTGGAAAAGAAGAGGTAGAGAATAGTGGAAGGAAGGTGTGCAGACATGAATGGAAACCTCCACTGTTCAATTTGGTGTTGACAATTTATCGTAGAGCAAATTGATTGATCGTTGGTGCCATTCCTGAGAGCTCTTCTTGTCCTGCTGTTTTTGAATTCTTCTAGTGTCAAGGAATTAGGAGTAGGTAACGGCGTGATAGAACAGAATCCAATAAATCCACAAATTCTACAGAGTTACTAAGCGGTTTGAATGGTAAAAGGATGCGGAGCGATTCCATTTTTCGTTGCAGGAATCGCACACATGATCAATCGATTTTGCTCAACAGTAAATTATCTATGCCAATCTCAAGAGGGGAATCACCACCACTGTTCTCAACCCATTTTCCATCTTCCGTACTTCCTTCCATTGTGAATTTTCTTCATAGGTTTTGTAACTGCTCCCTTATATCTCTAATCCCTACGGTACTGTTCCCTTGTAGGATGTAGGCAATAGGAACCCTGGAAAGTCAGCTTGTCAAAACAATCAAGTGATTGTAATGATATCTGTAAATGATATATAATTTGAGCGTAGCTGCAAGGTCATATTAATATATGTGTGGCTGTCATTTTTTTATAAGGCTGGTATCAAGTTTCAGAGGATAATTTCATAATTTCTGTGGGAGCAGCAACGCCGATAGAGGATCAAAGCAATTAACTACCTGTCTAGTACTAGTCCCACCTGTCTTTTAAATGACTTCTTGATGGGATCTTTGGTTCAATCAGGAGATATGGATTCTGCTAGTCGAGCATCAATGATTTTGATTAAGTTATGGCAGGGATAGTCGAGGTGTCAAAGATTCTCCAATCTAATTTTAAATATATAATATGGGAAATAAAAATCAAATGGGGTCTAGGTAATCAAAGATGTACGAGTATCTCCTGTATCTGTACGAGTATCTTCTGATCCTGTTACTTGGATTTTTAAGTCCAATCTAATCCAAGTAATCAGAAGGAGAAGGTGAGCAGAAATGTGGGCTTTGATGAATTATACTCGATTAGTTACTGTAGAGTTAGGGTTCGATAAGGGTTGTTGAACTAGAAATGAGAAGATGTATATCCCTCCTAATTTTCCACTGCACTGCTTCTACCCTAGAAGTAGCCTTCTTGAAGAGCCCATTATTGTTCTGCTGTCTTTTTTCTTGAATTGTAGCTGGATCTTATAGGCACCCGTCAATGGATTCCCAGCATCTTGGTCCTGGTATTCGAGATTATCACCGTCATTCTGTTGATGAATCTTATGGTAAGTGATTTTCATTTCGTCTACCGTACTCCAAAACATTGGGACATTTTTGTGTGCTAATTTTTGAGCGGCTTGGTGCTTGTTGAAAAATTCTGGTTCTATCATTCTTTCTCTGTAGTCTCCACCTGAAGCAGCTCAAAACCACTAGTTCAACTTTATTCATTCTATCTGCAGGGGTTTTCGAGTTTCTTGAGAGCTAGATAATTCATTCATGTGGTTCAGCAAGGAGAGGAAGGTTGTATACAGTTTGTTTGAAATTAAAACTGCTTTGGTCATTTAAGTACAGTCCAGTTTGTTCATTCTTTATGTAGCACTTTCAAAAAATTCTACTAATGTGTAACTTTTCATAGTTTCTATCAAGTAGCGAGGGCATGGCGTAGTCCAGGCATATTCAAAAGGTTTTTTAAAAACTTCTGCGAATACTGGACCGACTGGCCCGAGAAAAAGTGAGAGTTCTTCAAGGGAAACGGTAGCTTCACGCTATCGATTCTCGGCTGACTCATTGCAATGCTTCTCGAAAAATCAGCGCCAACGAAAGCACAACTCTGTGACTCATTCCTCCCACACGGCTACGGTAACTAAGAGACGAAGGCACCCTGTAGAGCGTTTCTTCAGCTGGTTTTATGACGGCAAGATGTGGCTAGAGACGAGAGGGAAAACGACATAAAACCCGTCTACGATTGTTGTTATCGATGCTAAAAATATTCAAATGTGTTTTCAGGTTTCCCTCGCTGTTGGAGACGTGAGCGATCTGAGGAATACGGCTCAGGATAAGATCTTGAAGATCAAGGCGGGTCTTTTATCCGAGTTTTCTTATAGTGGAAAATCTGGTAAAATGTGTTCGTTGGATTTGGAGACACTTATAGTTAGTGCACAGTTTAGGAGGAGGGAATCAGACACGTTTGGAAAATATAGAAGGCACTGTTACACAGATTTTTCTGACATTGAGGCCCTTAAGAGTGGTCAAAAGTGGCTTGTATCCACCACGCGGTTTCATCCATAGCCAATGGTCATTTACCGAGATAAAAATTACACTGAAATTTCGAATTGAAAAATTCAATTATCTCTTTTGGTGGTAGCTAATTCATTATTATATTTCTCCCCTAAATATCCAGACAAATTCTTTCGGACAGTCTATAGTGAAAAATAATAACAAGTATCCAATTACTGCTTTGAGCCAGCTGTCCTGCTATAAACACGAGTTCATACCTCTCTGTTACAGCGGCCCTGCAGAGGATTCCAAGGTTTTCAACGAGGACTCTGTCCAATTAGCAGGTTTCTTAACTTAGGCTGAATATAACAGAAATCCCGAAATATTTGCAATTAATATTGATTTGAGCAAACCTTATTTAGATTTTTCACAAGCTCGTCCACTGCTGACATTCTTGTGTCGGGAAAATGATTCTGCTTTGTCGAAACTTAATTTGTTCCTATGTATTCTTTATTTCCATGCATGATTGATATTTTGAAATAATACTTCAATCATTACCCGCTACCGTCATACTGATTGGTACTTTCATTCGCTCATTCAACTTACGATTTTTTAAACCCTCCATCCAGTTAGCATTCTCGATCTCACTTGTGCAAGGAGTGCAAACTGGCAGTGAGAGACCATCTAAACCTGATCGAGCCTATGATTTAGACATTAGGCTGTCAAAGGTAGCCAACTGCTACGAACTTCCATTTCATTCTATCTTGCATCTCTCAGGAAAATCAATTTTGGCCAGGAAAGTAGACATCAGAACTTCTAGTAAAATGAACGATGTGCAGTTCAATAGCGTTCAACCATTCCATTTACCTATCTCGGCATTGATGTTACTTTGATAATTCTCTTCTACCTACGCAATGGTTGAGTGAGCCTATGTAAAAGGGGTTCGAGAATTTCTATTGAAGTTCGTAATATTGGTCCCACACTATATCAACAAGCTGATGATGAAAGTCTAAAAATCAGTGGAGCATATTTGAAGGGATTTGTGCTATCAAAAAACAAAACTGGTTGTTTCCAGGTGAATTTTGTGATCGAGGCGCTGCAACTGAGCGAGCATGTGGGTGTTGGTGGCCTGCCGCTGACTCCTCTTCATAAACGGACCACTAATAATGTCTTAGTGGTGCACAGTGATGGCAGCTACTTTACGGTCTATGACGAGACACTGCGCATCGGTTCGTGTCTGAATTGTGAAACTAAATTATCTACTCGATAGAATTGGTCAGGGTAATGGATGAAGGAGGGAGCGTTCCTTAGAGTTATTTAAAGATATGTAATAGATATTGTTCCCTGGATTCAACTGCACCACAACTGGCCATTTTTCTGTTCTCACCAGTCGTGGGCTACCTACTACGAAGGACTGTTACCGTTTCTCAAGTGGTGATACTTTTGCATAAGTTTTACGTTATTTCCCAGGGTTTGAAGCTCAAAGGATACAGATAAAAAGCGATAAGACCGTTAGCCTGACCTAATTCGCTGCTCACCACATTCTTTACTTCCGCTTCCTAAGTTTAACATTCGGGGTATGTCACTTCGATGTGTTTAACGGGATCGGTTGGAAAATAACTGAGGAGATGAACGGTGAACTATCCGCAGAACTTTCAATGTCTAAGACGACACGTTGTTGTCGGACTTATGTATGGAGGGTTTGAGATGGGCTGACGTTTTTTCAGTAAGCCTCTCAAATCTTTAAACACTGTTTTATATTGGATGTTCAAAATATAATTCTTCGAAAAAACATGAAACTTGATGAATGTCTTCGTTTTCACAGGCGGTGAACGTCACCAGATGATCACATCGTTGGCGAACGATAATGGCAAAGACACTGATAAGGTGATTCTTTTTCGGATCAGTTCTATTTCATGATGTAAAACTATTCCCTGTCATTTTCAGGCTTTTCAACTGTCTTTCCTTGAACCTGGTATGCGTGTACGAATTCATCCTTTGAAAGGTAATTTTTTACTCGCTTGTGACCAAAGTTCTTGAGTGACAAGTGCTACTTAATGGCCTGCATTAGGAGGAGGGTGCAGGTGCACCTTTAAATTCTACTCGCTCAACCTCTGCCCCATCCTCCCTCCCTGCACAAACTTGTCTTTGAGATTACCCTTTTTTGTTACTCTTCGGACACTATGACGCGTCAAGGAAGGAAAGAAGTACTGACTAAGATTGTACTCTTCCCCTGTTACCTTTCCAACACCTGTTGCCTCCTATGGAAACTGTCAGTTTCTCTCGTGTCAATTCTTTTGCGATCTCTATACAACCAACCAACCCTCTCTGTTTCGTGTGTTCTTAGGTTGATCATTTAAACGTCCAATTCAATATCAGATTGGGAAAGGACTTAAACCCACGACAGAATCTGAACTAAGATTGTTGAATAAAAGCATTAGCATCACAATTAATCCGATCCATTCTATTTACAGGACGACCCCAATCGGTATTTTTCAAGAGCTGCTCCATGAGACTTATCGAGACCATTGATTCAGGTATTCCGGAGTTGCAAACCGATCCTGACAATTACGAGGTGATTTTCATTTTATGAGGTTTTCAGTGAACTTGAAGCAAACTAGTCAAACTTATGGATACAATTATGGAGCATTCAACGCATGTGGTCCACATTTGGCTTAGCCATTTAGGAGTCAATGCCTTTGTCTACTAGACGAATCTTGTATTGAATTCATGGACCCCGGGTAGGATAGAAGCCTCCGCGGAACGGGGCAAATATCGATTCAGGATTCCACATTCAAAAAGTGTAGTTGTGCACCCCTTGGCAAAACCTATCTTGCAATAAAAACGAACACTCTGAGTTCAAGGAAGCTACATTTTATCAATCCGGAATGAAGTTCAGTCTGGCATGTTCAGTTTTAATTTGTAGCAAAACTTAGGGGCTTCAGGACAAAAGAGGTGGACCGCGAGTCATTAGTGTCTCGACAGTGTCCCTCACCCGCTGAATGCCTGGAAGCTAACCCTTGTCCTTTCCTTAGCCTTGTACTCATTAACTCCAAACTTCACTTGGAAATAATTGACACTTCTCAAGAAGGAACTGTTCTCCCGTCGTTGCCAGTCCATCGATGTTTTCAACTACGAAGATATATCCTCCAGTCCTTAAACTGTTCTTCATCTGTCGATTACTTTCATCTTCTAGGATACCAGTGGTTATGATCGAAGCTACGCTAAGTGGATCATCGGTCTCGACTGGACGGGCTATATTGATTTGTAAATTCATTGATTGCTTTCCGGTGATAATGTAATAAATGCTTGAAGATTTATTCGAGAGAAAAAAAAGTTCTCAAAAGAACCCTAAATAGGCATGCATTCTTACAGATTTTCCTGCCTAATAGTCAACTGAAGAATCTTGCGTAGCAAAGTACAAAAATAATGGCTAATTTTGGAAATAAAGCCAGAGTTCGAAACAATGAAAAGCATATATGAAACTCAAAGAATAAAATACAATACGACCATATAAGCACGATAAATTCTATAAACAACTAATCTCATGCACAGTTAAATAGGGTACTGTAGGAAGAGATAGGGTAAAGGTGAGTGAAGATGATGATTTCTATAGAAGTCAAAGAGAAAGTATTCTACGATGAGTGATCTCTAGTGCACAACGTTGCAGAAAAATGGAAAGGAAAAGTTATATGTTAGAAAAGAGCTCTAATAGCCGTCTTCTTAGCTGGGCTAGTCTGCGAAGCACCAGCGGGAGGCTTGCTTAAAAGTGTGGCGCTGGCTCGGAGACGTTCCAATTCGTCTTGTATCACCTTTTCAATAGCTGTGTAGTTGTTCTCCTTCAGTTGTAGGTATTTTTTCCCACCGAATTCCGCAAACGTCACATAATCCGGTGCTACTTCACAAAGCATCTTGAGGTGCTCCATTAGCGCTTCTAAAAGACAGCAGAGACGGGTAAGCAGTGATTTCGAGCACAACCTGAATTTCCAGAGCATAACCCTTAGAACTCATGGGGTCCTACCTCGATTCATGGATGACTGGCTCCGCATGACCTGCTCAGACAACGCCCTCAATTCTAAAGAGCGAACCTTTTTGAAGGCAAAGTACCTGTAAAGTAAGCTTCAAAATCGGTGAACTTTTCGATAAAGAAAAAAGTAGAAGAAAAAACTTGTAGATTTCAAAATATGGCTTACGTTGTAATACATCGTAAAAGACCATGTATAATACGCTGAAGAAGCTCGATCTTTTTCTCTATAACAGGATCCCGCAACTTTTCGGCAGCTTTCCTTTCGGCCTCTTTCGCTCGTATCTAAAGAGAAACAACAGCTTTACAACAAAAATAATGAGTAGAGAGCCAGAAACTTACCCTTTCGAGCAATGACATGGCTCCTTTTGGTTTTGATGTCTGCTTCTCAGCAAATTTGCGAGGAGAGAGAGGTACTGACGAGTTTGAGCTCACAAGTTTTTTCACAGGGCTTTTCAGATCTTCGAGCGCGACCTGACAGAAATAGAAAAAATAGTGACAAACGTAGAAAAAAAGTGAAACAGCTATAACACCAACCGAAACAGCTTTTGGAAGTGGTACAGTTGTGTCGACTGTAGCAAGGTAATCCTTCATTTCTAGATGCCTCTCGCTTCTGTCATGGTCCTCTTCAGGAAGTTTGGCCTTGAATGTAAAATGTAACCATTGCAAGAAGATGAAAACATGAGTGATGGAATAAAACGAAGGAAAAACCAAGAATTGAATAAATAAGTGTGCGCTTCTATTTGCACTTTGATATCAAGCAGGCCCAAAATCTGTAAACGACAAGTTTACTACCTGCTCTATTTCTTCACATTCCTGCTCAATATCGAATTTAGGATGGAAGCGTCGTAATCGTGCGAGTTCAGTCTCCTTCAGATTGACTATAACAACTGCTTTAGAGGTAGACTAATGGGTGAACCGGATGGTCAATCTAAGAACCCACGTCCTAATCGATCCAGAAATTTCTGGTGGAACTTTTTAGCGATCTCTACTAGCTTGTGTCTAAACACATGACTTCTGCAAGTCATACGCCAGCCTTCAAGACGTGGTCTTGCGTCCAAAACAGGCTCTCTGAAATTGTAAGAAGCAGTTTAACTAATTGAACATCGTGCATACTCCACTAAATACACCAAAACGAAATGCGTCTAACTGTGGATAAGATGAATAGATAAAAGTACTATCAAGCCGTTCAATATTCACCTAGGAACTGCAGAAGCTACTTTTTTTCGAGGAGAAATGAGTTTGTTCGGTGTGACGGTCGGAAGCGGTTGACCATCGTACTTTACAGGGGTTTCTGGTTGCATAAACCCAGTCAAATCTAAAAACAGTTTTTAGGGCGGATTGTAAAGAAAAATCTGGTTGGTTTGAAAAAGAAACAGAACGCTCGCGATCACGAGATTGAATCAAACGAGTAAGATCATACCATCTACGAGGTTCGGTGCCATGATCAGCTCCGTTTTTCCATAAGAATCTGCATCTCCACCAAATGCATTCCACCGCTTATTCAAACGAATGTCATACGACGTTGGATATACATGCATTATTTGTGCGAGATGTTTACGAGTGAAGCTCCTATGGTAAGATTTAAAAAGAAATAAAAGCAGAAATAAGAACGGTAAAGTCGTACACAATAAAATTCAGCATAACCAACTAAAAATATAGTGCTAAAAGAACGAAAACAAATCATGGTTCCACTCACAAATGCGTGTTCTTTTCGACATTTTTCTGAATCTCTGGAAGCGCACATCGTCTGCCTTGGTTCGTGAATATAGAAATCACCTGAAGGAAAGAAAATCATTATGAATGTCATTCAAACACCACCGCTGTTAATCAACGTTTGACAGGAAAGAGTTCCGCGTAGGAAGAACTTGCAGTAGACAGCTACAGATAATTTGACATTGAGGTCAACAAAGGTAGAGAGCATTAAAACGAGTTACATATTTTTAGTCAGGAAACATAAAATGAGAGTTGATAAGCGAAACTGAGTCAAACAGGATGCAGCTTCACTTACTCTATCACATGACTGGAAAGTCTCGTGGAGGCGTTCGTAATGCCGGGGTAATGGGAGACTGGAATTCTTCTTGACTTCTTCAATAAGACGTGAAGCCTTACCATACTCGAACACATGCCTGTATTGTCAACGTATTATACTCTGTTTATAAACGCGATGAAAGGTCAAAGAAAATGTACCTCGATTCGTTCAGCTCAAATTCATCTAGGTCCTTAGCAGGCGTCTTATGAGTGGGAAGAACGAATTCAGGCACGGTTGAAGCCGACGGCTCTGACCGCTGAAACCTATCTACATCAGCGAAGGAGAAAGAGTGAACAGTCGTAGAGCCTACCTTTTGCGGAGTACTAGAAGAAGCTTTTGACCTAGCGGCCGCGTGCCCGCGAGCAGGCCCTTTTGGTACTGACTTTACTGGGGTCTTGAGGTTCTTCGCGTGTTCTTCTACCTGCAACTCGATTAGACTGCGAAGGGCACGAAGTTTAACAACTGTAGATAAAACAACAGCATAGGATATAATCCGAGAAATATAAACAGAATTATCCTTTTCAACTCATCTACCTGCTTGCTCTTGATCCGCTGCGCCTGCTCATGAATCGTCTTCAGAGCACTTTTCTGAGCTAAAACTGCTTGCAGTTCAGCAACACTTCGTATTCTCGCACGTGCTTTGACTTGAACAGCTGTAAGTTTGTAACAATTACTATAAAAGATTTCCGACCCCTTCCTAGTAACTGAGCAACAGAAATCTACGAGGTTCAGTTTTCACAATGCTGAAAAACTTCCGCCAAATCACATATGATTACACACTTTTCCTTATGGTAGGCAAACGCAAACATACCCTTCAGTGTAAGTTTTTCACTCAATTCGTCGGCCTTAGAGATCAAGGAATCCTTCAAGGGAGACGACACGAAGGGTAGCGTAGTTTCTGTCGAGACTTCAGATTTCACGGTTTCCGAGCTACTAGTTTTGTTCACTGGCTCCGCTGCTACTTTCGGGGTCGCCTGAGAATATAAACATTTTAGGTCTACTTCCAATTCTAAAAACTATAATTATCACTTCTTCAAGGTTCTCCTCGGTCATTTCCTTCTTTAATGGGCAATTTTGGATTGCATCGGCTGCAAAGAGAACCTTTCCAGCCGCACGTGATCCATGGTGGTCACTGCACTACAATATATTCAATAGTTAAAGCAAATGGTAAACAAGCCAAGGAGGCTCTGTAAATGTGAGGGCGCTGTATATCATACCTTCTTTGCTCTTTTTGGAGGAGAACAAACATTTTCAGTTTTTGCTGAAGAACATACGGCCTCATTCGACTCCTTGAAAAAGTCAACTAATGCTGAGTCTTGCTTCACATGCAAGGACCTTCTTACCTGTTTGAGTAAGCTGGGTGTTTGAAGCGGTTTCTTTTCCAAACAATTGGTATCACTGAGAAATTTTTTCTGAGGTCTTCCTCGTCCTCTTGTAACCTTAAATGATGACCTCACAGTAAAATCCTAACGCCGCTGACACATTATGGTGTCATGAATTCTATTGAAGGTTTCCTCTGAAGGAGTGGAGGTGAAATTCATATTGAACTCACTTTGAACACATCGGTAATCTTTCTAGTTTGTTCCATAGGTTCATCGAGGGTAACTTTGGCTGCCCGGGCTCGTGTACTACGACATGACATCTCTGTTAGTAAATGCGAGTTCCAGATTAGTGAGTAAAAGGGGGTGACTATCTGAAACAAAGAAAAAACCTCACAGAGAAAACTGAAGGAAATCCTGGAAAGACAACGTAAAAAATGACATAAATGGCAAATTCAACAGCACTTGGATTTTGAGAATATATGGATGCATACGTTCACATATTTGATTTACACTAAGTAGACATCAATTTTGAGTTTTAGCAGGCAATTTTTCTATTTAAAAGAGCTAACGACAACCTAAACAGCTAGTCCTAAAACTAAAATCCGATTGATTAGAATAAATAAACAAATATGGAGATGTAAAAACATATTTTTAATTACATTGGATGTTCAAACATTCATGCGTGTTGGAATTCGCGCCAAAGGGAGTTCTAATGGAGCGCGTTTGGGGACAGTTGTGATCGGAGGTGTTTATTGGAAAAGCTGATAAAATGAAACATCAACAAGTAAATAATGAGCAAGAATATGATGGAAGTAACCAAAATAGAACGTAGAGACGAGCCAACCCAATGTTTAGACCTATAGGGCTAGTATAACCAGTATTTTTGTGGAAATAAGTTGCTATCACAATGGTTAAATTAACTTTCATTTTGGCAGAATTCCATTTTGATAATAACTTTAAATTACATCAAACAAAACTCATAGTCGATCATGGAACTCGGAGCAAAACACTCCAGCGTGTGCCATCAGTAGGACCCTGGGAATGCAAAAAACTTCTGTGCTCCGTGGGCCGCATGACTATCTGTTAACTATTAGGTTGGCAAATAAGTCCTGCGACAAAATGGAGACCTTTTTTCAATCATTTCTAAATTTTTTCATATTAATCAATTTTCGGAAAAATTTTTACCAAAGAAGTCAACAACCTTCTTTTATCCTTTGAGCCAATCACTGATGCCATCTCTCCAGAAGTAAGGGAGCTGTGACTCAAAGAAGTAATTGACTGCCGTTTTTGGATCACATTAAGTCACGAATTACTTTTCCACAACGAGATGCTCAAAAAGGCGGAGCACATGATAGTTAAAAGGAAGAGCATTCCGGGAGTACGATTGATGAGTAACCTGGAACCAAGCGGGATCGGTGAACTTTTGACGTGGGTCTAAAGCGAATTTTCGACGTGCGTTGTCACTCTATAGCGACCTGATTTACGGTATGACGGTCCTTCTCTAACCCAGTTGGCCAAATGAAGGGGATCATAGGGGTAAGCGATAGCTGTGTTCATCTAGTATGCGTTTATCAACTCATAGTAGATGGATTCCTTCAACCTCCATTAAATTAAGGGAAGATGCTTGCGCTACTCCGAAAGCTAGTATCTCCCGCAGTGAAGCGATCCAACCGATTGTTGAACGTTGATTGGTGAGCAGTGCTAGCATCGAATAGATTGATGATATTTCGAGCCACTACACTCGCATTTTTCCCTTGGAGTGCCTGGTAGAAGGTGATGATACGATTCGGGAGCTGTCCATTCATTGACCGTAATGCCGCGAAAGCCCATACGCGTGCCTATATCTACTCATGTATTGATTGCCCGGGAAACGTCCTACAAGTTTATCACCCTTGCTACCGTGTTCACGCTGTTGATACAAATTTTCAACGCTTCAAATTTTTTGTCGCAGGACTTATTTGCCAACCTAATAATAAGATCTTCAGCGCAGGTTCTCAGGACTCGTTGGTAAGGCTAAGATTGTAACGCACTTTTCACGAGTGTTCATATCATCATTCAAAAATAAAGTTTACCGCTCCTCTCAGTACTCCCCAAGGTCTCCTACAGTACAGGAGTGTGCAGTGGGAGACCTGCAGTGTGTCCACTGCACTTGTCAGATTCGTGTTTATTTTCAAATTGGCAAACAAGTGGTTGAATGATTATGTGTGAAAAATACTCGGGAAAAGTAACTTTCTCAAAACTGCTTCACTTTGATAGATCACAACTTTAAGCCGATGTCCCAGTGTTGCGCGCCAGCCTATCGATTACTCGAACCTGGTTACTTTAATTGTGGCGACCGCACGTCGGAATTCTCAGAATTTGAACTTGCTTAACTTTTCATTCTTATACAACCTTCTCGGTTCTCGTTTCTGCGCTCCATTTGTTCGAAGAGATCCATTTGTTCGAACCCGCACAAGGAAATGAGGCAGAACTTTATTATCTTCCGGATTTGATTTCTGAATCTCTAGAGCGATCGTTTTCTCCTTTATCCGTTTTCCTTTATCACCTTGGAGTACAACTAACTCTGTTGCTCTCTCCTTTTTCCGCTGAATCACTTTCGTAGTTGCAGGTGGAAGACGCTCTCTCTTTTCTGGACCACGTGAAAACACAGTTTGCTTACCTTTATTTAATTATACGGCTCGTCTTATGTCTTGTGCGAGCACCAGCAACAAATCATTCGTTTCTATCTTTCGCGATCATCATCCACGGTAGATTCAGAATTCGACAAAGATGGCGATGTGAGGAGTTCACGTGATTGACGATAACATCCCCCGATATTGTGAGCCGATTGAACCTCGAAAGACATCGCTGGAACGCTCTGTGACTTGCGCTCAAAGCTCCTGACGTGGGCACACTGGTCACCCATGTCTCGACCCGTAACAGAATGCAGGAAGAACTGTGGAATCGAACAGATAAGCGCGAAGTTCTGGGTCACCCATATGGTTGGTGATCTCCGTCAGAGGTCCGAAGGCTGTCCAAGCTGCTTTCTGTCGTCTCAGTACTTCTTCTCTCATATCGTTGCCCATACTCGTGGAATGCCCGAGATAAACGATAAACGTGGGAGAAGTCTCCTTGATAGGAGCACCATCGATCTTAATTTGACCTTCGTCAACCCCAAGCATTCTTCATGAACTGTGTCTGTGTTTGGTTGATCCGCAGCCCTACCTTCCGCAATGCTGCATGAAAAGAGAACGATGTCGAACGATGATTGCGTCTATTAGAATCGAAACATTTCAAAGTTACTCTCATTTTGAACGGTTGACAAGTAAATTGTTGATCCATGAAGTAATTCCTCAACGTCGAAGAGGCCTCATTGTTATGGTAAAGAGATTTGCACTACTTCAGCAAGAATGCTAAATCCATGGACTTCTGCAAATATGATTTGGTCCATCTCGACTAACAGAAAAGAAAACTAAGTACTCGCCTCCTACAGTAACCGGCACAGCATAACCCTACTTTGATACGCGAGTTCTCACCCGTCACATATAAGACGCGTCGAAAAGAGCCCTTGGGCAAGGCACGGATGGGCAGTAGGGAAGTTAGTGAATTACTGTACGAGCCGAGGGCCCGTACTGAATTTTCTTTCTCATATCAACTAAAGGGTAGTGTAGCGACCGCACCGAAACCATGCGTAATCTGCAACGCGGTGCGTCTGCTGCGTGGGCAGAGGGCTCTGGTTTCGTCACGCGTGAATCGCACGTTCCCCTCGTAGACCATGCTTCCATAATGCGTGCAAAGGAAGTACTTACAGTATACGTACACAGTGATGTAATACATTTATTCTGTTCAACGCAAAATATAAAACATATATTAGAAAAAATATTCAATGGAAGGAAAAAACATTGAGAAAACCGGTCAATGAGACGAGGTCGTTTGGTAATTCATATGCAATGAGATCTAGTATATAATCTACAATTCCAGGCAATCAAACACCGTCCATTAAAACGCACAACATACAGTTATCTTGTCTAACATAAAAAACTATTATTCAATTAAACAACCATGGTAGTAACAACAATGTGCTTATGCTCACAAATTAGTTAGCCACAGCCTCCCAAGATAGAACTGTTTTACCACGACCGTGTAGAGCCGAAACCTTTTCATATGCTTCTGGTAGCTTATCAAACGGTTGTACGCGCTCCACTACTGGTCGAATCTTGAACAAAATGATTTTCAGAAATGTTCACAAAGAGACTAAAACGAAAACCACCTTTCCGTCTTCGGCGAATTTCGTCAGTTGCTGCATACACTCCTGNAAATTAGTTAGCCACAGCCTCCCAAGATAGAACTGTTTTACCACGACCGTGTAGAGCCGAAACCTTTTCATATGCTTCTGGTAGCTTATCAAAGGATTGTACGCGCTCCACTACCGGTCGAATCTTGAACAAACTGTTTTTCAGAAATATTCACAAAGAGATTAAAACGAAAACCACCTTTCCGTCTTCGGCGAATTTCGTCAGTTGCTGCATACACTCCTGACTAGGCATAAAAAATGCGTACGAAAACCATCGTCCACGTAATGCACTCTGGGATAGAGTTAGAAAAGATGATTACGTAAATTGTGAATCGCGGGATTTCCCAATGAAAATGTAAAGTTTCCTTGCGAACTTGATCTCCGGGCAAAATAGGCTCACCTCATAGCTCCGACAGAAATGCTTCACGGCGGTGGTTATCAAACCCTGCAGAAGACCATATCGGTCAGTATCCCTTAACAATGGGCTTGCCACAGACACATGGACACTGTTCTTCCATGCGCTCATAATCTAAAGAGAACCAATATTTAAATATTTCTGCCATGCTTGATTGAACCAGTCCTCGAAGACCTATCTCACATTATCGCTCCATCTAGCCAGTTCGGAATCAGCACAGTCAAAGACCACTTCATAAGGCCCTTCTTCAATTAGTTGATCTCGAGCATCTTTTGCTCGATAATCGACTGGAATAGCACCGAGTTTTCTCACTGTGATAGCACTGGAATTAGAAATGAGCATAGAAAAAATGCTGAAGAAACGTTGGCTTACTGGCATAGCGTACCTATCCTCTGAACAAGTAGCAACGACTTTATCAGTCCCCCAAGCTTTCAGCATTTGAATGGCCATCGTGCCCACTCCGCCGCCGCCACCGTGGATTAGTACTCGTTCAGCTATAATAAGTTGTCGATCTTTCCCATAAACGGCATAGCAATTATACAAAAACAAACTTGGCTTTGAACGGGGATTCATCCTCGCTACACAAACAAGAGCGGCCCATGCTGTATTGGCGGCATACGGCATAGCAGCTGCTTCGGCGAAATTGAGGTTAGATGGCTTGCGCGAGCAGCAAGCTTCTTGTGATATGACGTATTCTGCATGTGAACCAGCCCAAACGGCTGGAACTACCGCCATTACCTGAACGGAAAAATATTAATACTTTAAATAAGCTTACCGCAAGATCATGTGAAAGAAGGAGCAATAAATGAAAAGCATTTTTCTTGCTTCTGCTGATAATATTTTCAGAAGGTTATCATAGTACCAAAAAAGAGGATTTGTCGCGATAGTGCTGATATTAATGATGCGAATGACAAGCAGCAAATGTATGCGCCAACCTCATCTCCAGGTTTGATTCCCTTCACCGCAGGTCCAATAGCTTCTACGATACCGGCACAGTCCCTTCCAGGAGTTAAGGGAAATCTACGTGCCGAAGGATCAAAGGCATCTAAACGCTTCAAAACCTCCAGGATCTCCATGCCATAACCTTTAGCCATCATAGGGTCGACCGGATTTACACTGGCTGCCTAAATCTGCAAATGTACTTCACATACTACAAAGTGAAGATATGCATGAAAGCTTATGAAAGAATTGATCCGAAAATCGTAAAGTATTTTATAACGTTAGTTTCGTTACTATAAGAATTCCAAAGTCTGAAAAACCATATGCGGAACCCGCCCATTCCGAAAGACACGCCTCTACGGATGGCATCTTCCCGCGAGACGACATTTTAAGGAACAACTGGATGATGATTATAAAACACGATAAAAGCTCTTAAACTGAAACAAGTTGCGCAGTTCTTTATCGCTGCAAATTAAAGTTTGAACGCCATCATGAATTTGATATCATTATCAAACAGAAAGAAGTTTCTTACCTTAACTTTGATAAGAACTTGATCTGGCTTCGTGAGTACAGGTGATGGAAGAGTCTTTAGTTCCATTGGATCGGTAGGTGATCGTGCTACCCAAGCTCGCATATGTCTGGTACTCGTCAAGGAAATACGGCAAAGGCGAGTTAAATGCATATCTTAATAGCGATGTCTACTTAATTTCACACAGATCTAGAGGGATTCCCTGATTTGTTGAAACACCAACTGAACACTTATTGGTTTTTGAACTCTATCGTATACATGAGAACTGCTTGTTACCTTGCAACCAAGTGGCTAAATATTATGAGAGTACGGAAGAACGGTCTAACAAATTGCAAACAATCAACAAAACATAAGCATGACAGCTGTTGTCGCCGTGAATCCTCAGGGAGCCATTATTATGTACTGTAGTGCTAGTCGAGTGTAATTGCACCAATTACATTTTGTCATCGTCGTCCTTCTCCGAATTCACAAGTGCCCCGTTTTCTTTCGATATTCTCATTTTTTTTACCTCTGAAACCCAGTGGAAAAATTGTTTCGCAGTGGATTGACCTTTTTCCCAAGCCTTGTCTTTAATTAGACTGTACAATTTAGTTTGAAGCAGACACTTTGCGACACTTCAGAGAATATTACTGATTTCCAGTCGGATAGCCTTGTTATCTTGATATGTCCTTTTGAATTATACTTTTACCTTCTACTTTTTTCGGTGCCAATGTCTGATGCACAGAAGACTCCTGCTCCTGCAAAGGGTGATACGGGAGGGGCGCCAGAGAAGATGGAGGTAGAAGAGGTAAGATTACAGTTTCTATATCAGTCTTCTATTTCATTTGGTGTTTCCTGATCTGTTTAGGCAAGGCTCCAGAAGTTTCCTGGTACGGTCCTTGTTTCCCATACGGTGGGAATCCGCTTAAACTTTTGGGTTGTTAACTGTGGGGTTTGATAGCCTCTTCAGCAGGCTCTGACTTAAGACTATCTCAAGCTATGATAGACTGATGGTGAATTTAGCGAGCTGTTCCTTATCTCTTGAGGATTAATCGAGCTATTAGAAGGAGCACATACCAACCTCTTTCTGAAATCATTTCCTTCGAGAAAGGAGTAGCATTTCGGTTCAGAAATTAGTGTTCCGCCGTAGTATTGACTCTATATGTATTTCCATATGGATTAGTACGACATTCGTTTCGTACATTGGATCTCGGCCTGGACGCAGCGTGAGCGTTAACATCATCGTCCCATTCCATTTCATTCCCGCACTTCATCATATTGGAATAGAATCGCTCAGATAAAGGCATGGTTTCTGATCCTGCTTCGGTTGTTAACTGAACCGCTCAATACAAATACTGAAGCGAAAGTTCGTTGAATGTACGTACGCACGACCTTTTAGGCAATAAGAAGAGGACCAAATTGGGTACACTTTCTCAGGAGCTATGTGTTACGTTATCTATGCTCTGCTGGGTATAACATCTAATTTGCACCCCCTTCGGCTTTCCTGTTACCTCGATAATTCGCATAGTGGGTTCTGACGCTATGCGTATGCAAACACAATCGTTTTCGCCAGAATAGACATTCTTCAGGCCTTGGATGAAGAGATCCTCCGTATGGCTCCTGAGGATTTGAAGAGCCGAACTCATTTGCTGGACAATGAAATTCGCATAATGAGGAGTGAGGTTCAGCGAATAAACCATTCAGTTTCAATGTTGAAAGAACGCATAAAGGACAACAACGAAAGGATTAAGGTGAATTTTTGTTTGTTATTTCAACGTTTTCCTTCCTGAGTAATTTTTTTTCTCAGGTCAACAAAACCCTCCCTTATCTCGTTTCTAACGTAGTTGAGCTCTTAGACTTGGAGGACAATCAAGAGGAGGAAGGTATAGTGATTTGACCCATATTTAAGTTTTTAGTAAATTCTCTCACTTTTTCATATAGTCGTGGTTATAATTGTTTATTCAGGCGCTAACGTCGACTTAGACGCGCATAAAACAAAATGCGCGGTCATAAAAACATCGACCAGAGCGACATATTTTCTTCCTGTCGTTGGATTGGTTGAACCATCTGAACTGAAACCTGGTGATCTCGTGGGAGTCAACAAAGTAAGTCGGATTAATGCAAGCCATTAGTTATTTACAAATTCAGTTGACCTTTCCAGGATTCATACCTTATTCTGGAAAAACTCCCAGCTGAATATGACTCTCGCGTTAAAGCCATGGAGGTTAGTGAATTTTTCTCTTGTGGATTCAAGTTTGCATGGTAAGGAGGTTGTGGAGAGTTGCACATTCTGCTATTTTGTGGCCGCGTAAATGCCGTATAACTGCAGTTTATTTCAAATATCTAACGAATGACTCTTCACGATCAACTTGTTTGCTAAAACATATTTGCAGCATGGCGGTTCAAACAGAGCAAACCTTAGAATTTGCAGCAGTAGAATCCAGGTTCCAATCATGCGAGGAAATAGAATCCGAGTTTCCAAATCGTTTTGCGTTATCTCAGATGATTGTCTGAACTATGCAGTTAAGAAGTTCAAGTGGCTAATCTTCTTAAAAAATCGAAATGGACGTTCATTGAGGAGAGCGAAGCTGGCGTTTTGCGAACTCATTCAAAGTCACTTATTCATCTGCTCTATAAAGATAGATTTATAGTCGAGAAATGGGGATGTTCATAGTCCAGTATTTTTGGCATCTGCATACGAGCCCGATACCTGGAGGAAATCTTTTGCTAGGCGAACTTTGACGCGCAATCATTGGAAAAGCTAGTCTTTACTCCAGCGCAATCATCTTCATGGAAGAGCTCATGTGTAGATTCGTTATATTCGAGACCTTGAAAGCAAAATCGAGGCAAGTTGTTTTAGGTTGACGAGAGGCCTTCCGAGCAGTATTCCGATATCGGAGGATGTGACAAGCAGATTCAAGAACTCATTGAAGCAGTAGTTTTACCTATGACACATAAAGATCGATTCGTCAATCTTGGCATACATCCACCAAAGGGAGTGCTATTGTATGGTCCGCCTGGTATGTGGTAGTTGAAATTTGAGCGAATGCGCCGGTGTCTTAGAAAACGAAATTATGTGTGGGACTTGTGAATTGTTCAATTCAGCTCTTCAATTCTTCATATTCTGTTCAGGCACCGGTAAAACTATGATGGCACGTGCTGTCGCAGCTCAAACGAAATCAACGTTCTTGAAATTAGCTGGGCCGCAGCTGGTGCAAATGTTCATAGGAGACGGTGCAAAGCTTGTACGTGACGCGTTTGCACTAGCTAAAGAGAAAGCACCGGCCATAATTTTCATCGACGAATTGGATGCTATTGGTGAGTTTATTTCTGCCCTCTTTTCGGATTGTACATTGGCTGCGAAACTTATTCTGATTCTTTTTTGTTTAAGGTACAAAACGTTTCGATTCCGAAAAAGCTGGAGATCGAGAAGTGCAGCGTACAATGTTGGAGTTGCTTAATCAGCTTGACGGGTTCCAGCCTAATGACGAAATCAAGGTGCTTATTGCGGCAACTTCTTATTAATTCTTTCACTCTGTATTTCACTTTGTATGTGGTCAGTGCATCTCATGTTTGGTTTTTTGCAGGTGATTGCCGCTACTAACAGAATTGATGTCCTTGATCCCGCCCTGCTCCGATCTGGACGACTTGACAGAAAAATTGAGTTGCCGCATCCCAACGAAGATGCTCGATCACGTATCATGCAGATTCACTCAAGGAAAATGAATGTCAAGTAAGTACTGTGTTTTTGCCTAGTCTTTTATCAATTTTGCAGAGTTTTCTTTTTTTTCTACCCTGGCTTCTTAAGAATCTCATTTCAATAGCCAGGCATGGTCCTCTCTTACTTGTTTTCTACTTATTGTTTCCCTTTTCTGGGTTTATAGACAGTTTTTACGCATGTATCAAGTTTAGAATGCTGCTTTCATTTCTATTCGAAGTGAGCACTAACGTCGCGAAAATTTACGACTGAGGAGGGAATGGGGCATTTCTTAACTGTCGTGTAAAAAGGCTTTCTCTCTTATAGCTTACAGGCCTTTTGTGGTTTGTTGGATTTGCCAACCTCTAAAATAACAATGTCTGTGTTGTTTAATGTCTGAGTTTCTATTAGGCAACCTTTCTGTAACTATACAGCCTGTTCTGAAACAGAAAGTGATTGTTATTCATTATGAGTTGCTAGACGTGTTAGTTGAACATCTGAGTTGCATTTTGCCTCGTAGACGATGGGCAGACCAGGAAAGCTTGTGGGGTGCACTGTCAGAAAGTTTTCTAAAAGCTTCTGAAAAGAATGTTACATATTATTATAGTTCCAAGTTAAAGTGCCCGGTGCTGAAATGTGAATAAGTATTTGCATTAACGCGTGACAAGTGGGAATAACGTCACAGGGGTAACCCCGTTGTTTCTATTACAACCGGAGGTTTAGTGGAAGTCATGTTGAGTCCGAACTATTGATGTAGAAGTGAGCACGCGTCAGTGATCGAGCAAGTTTTTTTTTTTTTTCGAAACATTGTTTTCATGTTTTTAGCACATTGCGTTCGTGAAAGTGAGTGTTTCTATTTATCTGAAAAAGCGGCCGTCATGTACATCCTTCGTCATTTTCACTGCTGTCAGCTGGGCCGGACGTGACGTCATTTTACGTGGTTTCCTTCCCTCTTCATTCTCCTTATGAGAGCTTTGCCCCTCATAAGAAGAATGAAGACGGAAGGAGACTACTCATGATAAGAATCTTCATTTACAGAATTGCAATCAAAGGGTATATAAATTATGGTTTTTCGAGCATTGTTTCGGCCAAAAGCTTAATTGTTACCTAAATTTTTGAATGATTCTGAAAGTGGCACTGGTTGTTTCAGAGTGAAGTAATTTTTAAATTTCCTTACTCTTGCATTGTCCACAAGAAAAACGTGACCGTTTACAAAATTAAATGCCGTCTCTTGTAGTTTGTTGCAAGAATTGATACGCGTGCTCATTGTAATATTCTCAGAATTCACCAGAAGAAGAGCAGTGTCAGTTTATGATAAGTTGTATGACATTTTTTTCGCAGATTTCACGATAGCAGAAAAAGATACAAAGGAAAGTCGCGTGAACAGCTGACAAGGGAGCTGAATCCATCTGTTTACTAATCTTTAAGAAAAGGCGCCATTTTGATCGGCACTAAAACTTCACCAAATGTTCTTTTCACCGTTCGTACCAACAATGTACTTTGTCTAACTAATGTACAGGGGAAATTGTATAGCGCTGGCGAATGTAATCGGGTTCCCAAATGTAATGCGATAAAATTAGCTAAAGTTCATTCAAGTGTAACTGCGTACTACGTTTTTTCGACTAAATGACGCCATATTGCACTTTTTGCCGGTTTTTTTTTTCAGCAAGGACGTCAACTTTGAAGAGCTAGCTCGTTGTACTGATGACTTCAATGGTGCCCAGTGTAAAGCAGTGTGTGTTGAAGCGGTTGGTTTAGTGCTCTTACCAATTGGCCTTTTCACTTATACCCCGACAATCAGTGGTGTCTTTAGGGTATGATCGCTTTACGACGTGATGCTACAGAGGTTCTTCATGAAGATTACATGGATGCGATTCTGGAGGTCCAAGCTAAGAAGAAAGCCAGTCTCAATTATTATGCATGATTCATCGTCTACGTCATTTCCGTGACTCACTATAAAATATTTCTTCTTTTGTTAATTGCAAACCTCTACGAGTTCTGTTCAACTGTGGAACGTAGTGCTGTCTCCTGTATTTACTCTCAGCGGTTTTCAATAGAGTGCTGAGCCTCTTATCGATCTGTTCATGAAAAAAAAAGTTGTCAAAGCGAGCACTCATGAAACGTTTGGGTCATTGCTATCTCTCTTTGAGGCTTGCTTTTCTATATCAGACTTTTGAACGATCTTATTATTAAACATATAACTTAATCTCAAGCATTATAAAATATTTCGAACTGGTCTTCATTTGTCCGTAAAAGCTGAACATGTGATGAACATTACTGACATCAAGTGTGCTACAGTGAGCGTATATTTTGTAAAAATGATTCATATAAGAATGGAGTGATATGGTGATCAACGACGGACGAAAATGTCTTATGGTAAGGATCATAGCTGCTTCGACGCAGACCGGGTGTGTCGGTACGTTTTTGCACTTTGCACTGTTGTAACAAGTTACTTTTCGACGAAGACATCCTTAATTACAGTGAGCAGCGTTCCAACTCGTCGATAACAATGTCACTTCCGTTCGAACCGCTACCACATGGGCATGTGGTTCAAAAGCCATCGTCACCTCGATTTCCGTTGCCGCCCGGTGACGATGAGTTGCAGATTGTGGCCGGTAGAGACAACTATGGTATGCTGCAAGTGATCGAATGGGACCATATGGATCTATCAATATTCTATCCGGCAGCGCTCACCAGGTAGATAATTTGGTGGTTTTTTCAGTCTAGGTTCTGAATCTGTTCTATTTAGTACATGGACTGTGCGCATGTGTTTGTACCCGCTGGCAGTACTCAGAAGTCGTCTACAACTACAGAAACAACATACTGTTTATACTAGCACATGGGATGCATTTATCAATATCTCGA